CGAAACCTCAGTATGACAAAAAGTGTGCTGTGTAAGAAGGTGTTCATCTTCAAGTCTCACAGCAGGAGGGACCAAGACTCACCTCAGCTGCTGTAATGGTTTTTCCTGATGATTCTGTCTGATTCTGCAGAGATTCACAATTGTGTTTAATGTTATACAGTGGAAGTATTTGCAATTTAATGGGTCTGTGCAGTGTATAAAAACTCTAGTACAAGTTTTGTCATACAAAAAAATTATCCCTAAATATTAGACAGGATCTAGGTGACAAACTGTCTTCTAATTTGAATTGAGGAGACCACCTACAAGCAAAATTCTACACTTTCTTTTCATTTGACAAATGAACAAGATCATTAGAGTCAGAAAAATACACGCGTTCCCTTATAAATTCAGGACAGAAAAAAAGTCTGAAAGTTTACCTTTTCATTTTACTTGTGGTCATAGGAAGCTGCCTGATGAGAGACTTCAAAATCAAATAGCAGCTAAATTTAACTAGAAAATTAGGTTTCGTAAAAAGCAAATTCCTATAGATCTTCTCCAAAGCCTACTGATGTCAGGGAAATTCTATGATCCTGGTCTCTAATTAAATTGTTTGTTAAAAAAATCTCATCACAAAGCTGAATCTGAGTGTCCTTAAGTTTTCAGCTAAGGTCATGTACTGTGAAGAATATCTTACCCTAATATTTCAAGCTATTAAGGGGCACTCCTCACCATTAGCAACTTTCCCGCAGTGCACTAACAATGAATTTCTTAATAAAGCTTCTTGGACCTGCTGACAAACGGGATTAAGGGAAATCCAGTGTTCTGATGTGCAACAAAAATGCCCAGTTTTGAATACTTGAACACGAAAGTGACAAAGTTATAAACCAGGATCAATAAGGTATGTAAAACAAGATAAGTTTGAACAATCTATTTGCAATTCATTGCTTATGCAGACAGAAAAAAAACACAGTAAGTACTTTGCCTACTCAAGCATAACTCACAGATGAGTAAAGCAAATTCTTCTCAAATACGGGAAGCTGAAGGCAGCCACCACTCTTCAAGCCTTTCCTCATAGTAACTCCTCAGCAACCAACCATTCAATAACAAATAAAACCAGCCTCGAGAAAATACACTTAATGTATTCTAAGGTTGTCTAGTCTTACATCAAGATTCTATAAAAGAATTTGTATTTCCTGCTTCACACATGTGCATGTAGGTAAAAACCCAATTTTACATTAGACAAATACACAAATCAGTCGATAATCTTTTAGAAACAAAATTAAATATAGTGTAACTTTTGTAAGCTAGCTGTGCATTTAAATCACCCTGGACTGCTTTCATCAGCACACTGAACAAAGTAAGCACAAAAGAACATTAAAATGTCTTTCTTAGGACATGTGCTAAGACATGACAAATCCAGGTGGCTTTGAGGCAATTCTCTTAAAGTACAAGTGTTTTCTGAGATTCACAACTGCTGTTCAACAATGCTGTGTATGTAAGGAGAGCTCCAATATCACACATTCACTAAGAACATATTTCCACTTCTAACCTTTGAATGTGGAGTGCAGTGATTTACTGATTAAGTTTAAACATAGATCACATCCTAATCTTAGTTTTTAAGAAGTTACTTGGGTTTGCATACTATTATCTGCTCCTATTAGTGTAATTCTCTGGGGAGGGCGAATTAAATTTCTCAGTTATAAATACTGTCTTTATTTCTGTGGGTGGCAGAAATAAAAATCCCCAGGGCAAGATGCACCAAGGCATTCCAGTCACACTAGCTGAAATAAGCAGGCAAAAGCTTATGTCATTAAGAGAAATACAAGCCAGCATTAGAACTGGTCTTTAGAAAGCAGCTGCATTAAACTCATGAGAAAGCTTAGTGGCCAAGGACTTGCCATTTTTAGGGCATTTTCTAAAGCAATCGCTTCATCTGTCTTGTTTATAAGAATTTTAAGGTCTTATCAAGAGATTTTCACCATGCTACATCTGATCACAGCTGCTGGTGGGCTTTACCAAGGTGAAAAAGGGACCAAGGTAAAAAAGCTAGGCAACCTGTGGGGAGAGGACAGTTGCTGAATGGCCATGAGCATCTTACGAATGAAGGTTGAGACTCTCCAGTGCTGTTTGTGATATATAAAACAGATTCCTTAGCAAATAATGGTAGTGGAAAAAAAATGGCAAACAGTGTGAATGGCTGATAAATGGGCAGGACTACCATTAACTCCACTGCATTCCTGTATCCAGTTTCATGAAAAATAATTTCTTAATCGGGCGAAGAAAAAAGAGGGAAAAAAAAAAAAAAAAAAAAAAAAAAAAATGGCTAGAATACCACAGCGTGGAAACCTTTTCTAATATCACACACTGGGAAACAACCTGCTGTTTGTAACATCAGTAAGATTTAGAGGAAGATTAGAAAGGCAGAGATCTCATTTCTTCAGTGTTGTATTTTCCCTGTCTTCAACCTTTCCGTTTTACTCATTCTTAGTCACTCACTGTTCCAGGCAAAACCTTAAACAGAGAAGAATACTATCAAAACCACAACAAGAATGATCTGAGGGGACAAACGGTCTGCAAATTGTGATGAATAAGAAAATCCAACTTAGCCCAGTAAGCTGCTCAGCTGAGCCCAATATGGACTGTCAGGCACATCCCACATGTGGAGAAACATCAGCAGCTGGCTGTGGCATAGGATCTGCACCTGGGGATGCTCCCCACCAGCCTGGTGCTGGCCAGCAGTGAGAACCAACACTCAGTTGGGTGCTGAGGTACTCCAAGCAAGAATCACAGAATCACTGAATGGTTTGGGTTGGAGGGGACCTTAAAGCCCATTCAGTTCCACCCCCCATGCCAAGGGCTGGTTGCCGCACACCAGATCAGGCTTCCCAGAACCCCATCCAACCTGGGCATCTCCATGGATGGGGCATCCACAGCAACTGTGCCAGGGCCTCACCACCCTATGGATGGAAAATTTTCTCCTAATATCAAGCTTCAATCTTCCCTTTTTAAATTTAAAGCAATTACCCTGTCCTACCCAGACGTCGTACTACTAATTGGCCTTGTAAAAAGTCTGTCCCTTTCTTGCTTATAATCTCTCTTCAGGTACTGGAAAGATGCAGTGAGGTCACTCCAAAGCCTTCTAGGCTGAAGAAGCCCACCTCTCACAGCATTTCTTTGTTGGAGAGGTGCTCAGCCCTCTGATCATCTTCATGGACCTCCTCTGGGCCTGCTCCAACAGCTCTGCATGCCCAGGATCTGAGGGACCTCACATGGCAGAGCAGAGGGGGACAGTCCTGTCCTGCTGCCCCCCCCCTGTTGATGCAGCCCAGGCTACAGCCAGCCATCTGGGCTGTGAGCACACTGCCGGCTCATGCCCAGCTTCCCACCCACCAGGACTCCAAGGCTGCTCTCAAGGACTTCTTTTTCTAGCCTGTACACATACCCAGGATTGTCCCAAACAAAGTGCAGGACCTTGTGTCGTCTTGTCAAACTTCATTAGGTTTTCTTGGGCCAAAGCCTGCAAGCTTTAAGAAGACTTCCTCTTTTTACAAGTACCAGCTTAGTGCTTCCTGGTGTCCTCCAGACAGCTGACCACTGATTTCATAGAGAATCCCACCCTGCAGGCTACCTGTGTGACTGCAAGGAAGGAGCTGTGCATATGACTGCCTGCTTGCCTGCAGCACTGGATTCCTGGTATCAGCAGTGGGGCAGCTGCTTGGCCCAATGGACAATGCCAGCCTGCTGCGATGAGGGAAGTGCCCAGGATGCGCTCCACACACTTCACGGGCTGTGGAGAGCAATTGGGAAGCCAGGGGCTGCTGCTATTACTAAATGGACACATGAGCCCTCACGGTCCCTCACCACTGTGGTGCAGGGCGACATTTGGCAGGATTTCAGCCACAGCCTGGGAACCACTTGAAGCAACATGCAAATGAAACAAAATGCAGCGAGACAGCGTGCGGGAGAGCTGACTCAAGGCGGGCACCTGCTCACAGCAGCCTCCCAACCCGGGGAGCACCAAGGTCTACCAGGCAGGCCGTGCTGTGCGGGGTCACCTCGGGATGTTACCTCCGCACGGACCGCTGCCTCGCCGGGCCGCGCTGCGCCGAGGGCTCTGTGCGCTGGGTCTCTCCCAGGCGAAATTTCGCTTTTCAATGGGAACCCGCTCGGGAGGAGCGGCGCCTGTAATATTTCTCGTGTGACTCACACGCAGAAAACGAAGTTCGCAGTCGAAGGTTTATCTGATGAGGGCTTTTTACTAATTAAGGGGTCGTTACGGGGCGCGGAGGAGAAGACCCGGGATGGAGGTCCCCAGCCCCGCTCCCCAGCAGCACATTTTTCAGAAATATGTTTCCTCTCTCGCTCGCGGCCCCTTCCCCCTCCCGCCGCCCCGCTCCGTCTCGCAGCGCTGATGAGCTAATAGCATTTTTCCTTTGCATATTTTGGCTCTGCCGCACGGCATACTCTGGCGCGCCCCGCGCCTGGCAGCCTACGTGTGTCTGGGCGCGCTCGCCCGCCACAGGCCCGGCCCGGCCCGGCTCCGCCCGGGGCCCCGCGGCCACCCCTGCCCCGTCTCCCTGCGGCCGCCCCCGCGCGGGCGGGGGGCGGCGGTGGGGAACCGTCGGGGCCGCACGTTTCAGCCGCATTACGTGCACGAATAGCGGGGGCGCAGCCAGCGGGGCTTGTGTAACTTTGCGAGCGTGCCAGCGAGTTTAAAGTCCCTGCTCCGCCGCTGCTCCTCCTTCCTCGCTGCAGACACCCGAGCGGGACGGCTAGAGGCTGACTGCTCGCCGCCGCGCCGTTTCGCACACTTCGCCTATAAATACCGCGGAGAAGGACAGCCGCTCACGGGCCGGTTCCCCGCCGCCGGTCCGAGCTGCCCAATGGCACCGCCCGGCTGCCGCCGCGCCTGAGCCCCGCACTTCGCTCCGCTCGGCCGCCCCGCGCCCGCCGCCCCCTCCAACTCTCCCCCGTCCTCGCCCGGTGCTCTCCACGCCCGCGGGCCCCGGACAGACGAGAAGATGCGCTGCGCGCCGCCGGGGCTGCTGCTCGCCCAGCTGCACGCCTGCATCTTCTGGAGCGGGCTGTGGCCCGCCGGCTGCCAGCCGCCCCCCGCCGCCTGGAGGCAGCGCATCCAGTGGGAGAACAACGGACAGGTGTACAGCCTGCTCAGCCAGGGCGCTCAGTACCAGCCCCCGCGGCGCCGGCAGGCGGCCGAGCCGGCGAGCAGCCCCGTGCTGCTGCTCCGCGGGAACGGCTCTGTGCCGCGGGCCAACGCCGCCCGGCCCCAGCCCGAGTCCCAGCCCCAACCCCAGCCTCAGCCCCGGCCCCAGCCCGGCGGCAGCCGCGGCTCGGGCGCCCGACATTGGTTCCAGGCCGGCTATCGGGCGCCCTCCGGCAGCCGCGGCGCCGCCGGTCCTTCCTCGGCAGCCCCGCGGTCCGGCGGCCCCGGCGACGAGAGCGAGCGGAGCGCCGGCGGGTTGCCCGCGCCCAGCGGTCTGCGAGCCGGGCGGGAGGACATGATGGTGGGCGACGACCCCTACAGCCCCTACA